TGCAAATCCGACCGGCAAAAGGCCCAGGGGAAGGCCAAGATTAACCTGGTGCAAACATATGGAAGGAATCCGTTCTAGACTGCATTTTTCTTTTGCAGAAGCTCAGACTCTGGCACAGGATCGGGAACGTTGGAAGCACTGCCTGACGCGTCTGCCTCCGCGACCCGAAAGGAGAAGCGGCGATGGAAGATGAATGAATGAATAAAGTATGATTTTACAGCGCTGGCATTCAGTTAACTAAACTAAGTGAAACGAAACAACGAACATATTCAGATATTGCCTGGTCATGTGATGTTTCATCAACGCTACCACTTACATGACCATAGCCGTTGAAAATATCTTCATAAAAACCAGCTCTTGTGTTATTTCCACATAACTAAAGCAGTGTTTATTGGTATTCTTTAACTGAATTGAACAGAAGCTTGATGGCATTTACATAGATATTTCAGTTCCTTTCTTCCACCTACCATAAAAAGGAACATTTTCTGACAGCCTTGTTTAAACAACAACCATTCTGTTTTAATCCACGCCATTCTCCAATTAACCAACATTACAATTATTACCAGACTCATCATCATCGACAATTTCACTTGAATATAAATAATTCTTATCAGTTTCATCATTATGATTTTATTACCGTAATCCGTTTTATCATAATCACAATCATGAGTACGGTGGTCGTAATCATATTCATTATCAGGTTCTAATTGGAACTATTATCCTGATGATGATGACTATGATGATGATATAACCATCATAGTTGTAATGATGATCATGATCACGGCAATGACTTCGACGTTCATGATCATGCTCATTAACATAGTCCTAATCACGAGCAGTATCACAACAATGTTAATGGTCATCATCGTGATAATCGCTGTCGTGGTGATATGTTCTAATCGTTTGTGATCAAATGTGATCGTCATTATATTACATTGCAGATCATTATTATAATCACAGTCACAGCCCTGATTATCATCACAATTCTTGTCGTCGTGGTCATGGCAATCGTAATGATTATATTCATGACATTATCATCTTCACATCAGAATCGTTACCAGGATCACAAACATCTACATAATCGCCATCATCAGCATCATCATTAATATTATCATCACCAAGATTATGGCTGTTATCATCATCGCCACGCAGATGATAAAAATTATAAGTTGCGAAACATGGCACAGGTATGTTACTGACTGAATTTACCTGTTGCTCCAAAGTCTTTCCTTGCCCTTATCTGACGCCAACATTTCCAGGTACATGTCGATTTCGGTCTGAATAAAGTGGAAGGTGTGAATGGAGACGAACTCTCGGACGAAGACAGAATTGTCCGGCAAAGTGATACGGTCAAATTTGCCGAAATAGAACAATGACCACATGTAGGCTTTTCGAAGCTGTGAGTGGCGCTGTTCAGATCGGTTCAGCGCTTGAAAGACGGTTTTCATCATTCGGCCAAAAAATCCACCGGTAAGAAGTCGGATGCAAAACTGCTTAAGGAAACACAGTGTTTTTTGAGGTCCATTTGCAAAGTGTTGATCGTCAACGCTGAAGAACGCCTTGCTTCTCCGCACAGTTTCACGACGTTTCCCGACGCTAGGGGATATGTCGCTTACCGATGGCGTAAACCGATGCAACACGACGTCATTTGTATCATTGATCGACTTCATGCCTTGAACGACGTAGGTACCAGCAAAAGTCGTGGATCTGCAAATAGTCGAGTAAAACTAAATTTAAATATATGCCTTAACCGATAATTTAGTAAAACAAATAATTAATAAATAAATAATCAAATTATATTTGTTTGTATATTTTATTAACGAACAAATACGAAAGCGATTTATTTATAATTTTTACGCTAGGATTAAAAGCTAGGGCTGAAAATCACCCAAGTTTATGTGTCTAAACG